ATCATAATTCGTGGTGGTTGTAATCGGTTAGAGAGCACCAACGTAGTCGAAAGCCTTGTCAGTCGGCTGACCAGGAGCTGCTGACACCGCTGCCACGTACAGGGCCAGGATCGAGGCGACTGGGAACATTTCGATGTATCGAGATCTTCATGCGAGGTCTCTTTGAACGGGGTGAGAGTTTGGTTTGAATCAAGCGAGCTACGCGGACATGCAGGTTTAGATGGCGCATAGGTTGTAAGAGGCATACTTCGTCGGGCTGGGCGGTGGCACCAACGTCGCTGGAAGTGTGTCTCGACGGCGATCAGGATGTCCAGCACCACTTGGGAAGTCCACTGAATCCGTCCTTTGCAAGGGCTTAGACGTTTGATGGGCGTTCTGGATCAGAATTCCGGCATTCCTTTCTACAATAGAACTTTGGGGCCCAGGGTAGTTCATGTGGCTTTGCAAAAGGTTGGACAAAATAATCAATTCATTTCGCACGACCCATGGAAGTGAGTCAGGGCACACTTCAACCGGGCGTTTTAGTAGACGGAGAATCAACCCTTGCACACCCAGCGCGGCATCGAAGACGATTAGATAAACTATCCGAGAAACGTGGGTGGGTGGCTTTCAGGGTGAAAGTTCTCTTCGCTCCCGGGCGGGGTGAAAACGGCTGAGTTTGCAACGCTAGAGAACTCTCCTCGGATAGAGATGGAATGTCGCCGGTAACCTTGATGCAACCTACCGTGCCTACTTCATCCGCAGCGTACCATCAAGCGTTGAATCTGCATCGTCCTGACGCCTGGCTCTGCAGTCTCACCTAGTTGATGCGAGATGGGCGGGGTTCCTCGGACTTTGCAGCAGGGAATCAGCAATTTACCCCGGTCGTGCCCTCCGCCCACTCCAATACGAATTTCCACACCGGAAGCGACAGCGGCATCTGTGTGAAGAAGGTCTACCGCTAGCTTAACGTTCGCTTGCATGGACAAGGGTTGTGTGGGTTGCACGAGAAGGCGCTAAGATGGCGTGGTAAAGGGGTTGATGGGCTTTGCTGAAGACTCTACCCGCCGCGATGAAATGATTACAAACAAGACGGACAGGTAACTATGGCGATGGAAAAGACTGGATCATTCACTTCTGCCATAACGTTCAAATTTACGGAGTACTGTCGGAACTGCAGTCGCGCTGCTTTTTCATCTTGTGGCCTCACGCTGAGGCGTTGAGAAAATTCTTTCCAAACAAAAACCGTTGTTTAGCACAGGTAGGCACAGGATCCTCTACTGAAACAAAACTGGAGACGAAACAGGGGTTTGATATGGACAATCTCGATAGTACACGGGACAAATCTTGAGCGCGCTGCACAGCGAACTTTCTAAACTCATAGGAAGTCGTAGCTTGATAGTTTAGGCTGAACTGTGCTAGGGCCGACAAACTGATTATCGGATGTTCAACTCCTAGCATGGATTATGACTATGGAGAATAGCTCCTCTACTTGTGCACTAGGGGAGTGAGATCTTTTGTAATTAGACCAAGAGAAAGTTTTCTTTTCCTTTTGGAAAACAAAACGCATTGATAGACAAAGTGTTCTCAGTATTGTGTGCTTGAAGATAGGTTAATCAAATAGTCTTGTATGTCTTGAGATATGACATTCTACTGAACTCCGAGACCCACGACCGCGTCTAACGTAATGCTGCAATACCGCAATACTGTATAAGATTGACTGAATCAGTGAATACAACCAATTTGCTGCGAAAAGCCGCAAAACTGGCATCATCAACATAATCGATAAAGACGATACGGCATGTTCCTAAGTATTGACCCTTAAATTTCCTGCATCTGATGCTGCTCTTGAATAACCCGTGCTATTAAATCCGCTATTATTAATTCTATAGCGAGTTTGATGCTATAAATAGCCGGTTGGATAGAGGTGTAGAGAAAGGATGTAGGTAGAACTAGTATAATGATTGTTAAGACTGCTTTTAAAGAATAATTTAGTATGCTCTATATATATTCTTAGGAATTACTTTGAAGATTTTCTTATAACTTACCTCTATAGATAGTAAAACTATTATAGTAGCAATATTAAGTCGAAATAAAAGTCGATATTTGACTAGACCGTTGGTGATAAGTTCGCGATGGACTTTCCGTAAGAATACCGAGTTTATGAATAGATCGATTGATGCACTAAAAGCCGAGGCGATAGGGATGGCGTATTTTTGGATATGTAGACCTAGTATGGGGTAAGTTCTTCGTGCCTATATATATAGGCCGATACACAGAATATTTATAATGCTAATGAGTACGAGTAGTGTTATTTTTATGGCCTTAACCGTCTTTTTATTCGCCATGATGAGCCCTAGTCGATTCGCGACGATTTGAGGTGGAATCTGCATCAAAAGCACCCACAGGACAGTGCTCAGGGAGAGAAACAAAGTGCTACTGTAATTAACGGAGGTAGCATGCATTGGCCCAGGAGTACCGCACTTACCTTCCTGCAATCTGTCCGCGCACAAAAAACCAGGTAATAACCGCTGAAGTGGCGGTGGTAAAGAGCAAGATCCAGACCCTGGGAAGCGTCATTATCTGGAGACTCAGCGGCCACTGCCCATATATGTAATAATAACTAACATCCAACTGTACATATTGGCGAAGGATTTGGTCCTAGAGTAAATGTGCAAAGTCTGCTCCGTCACCTTTCCAAAGTTTAGGATTGTTAGACCTATGACAATGCCAAAGCAAACACCGCTTTGGATTTCGGGGTCGCAATCCTGCGTCTGGGAGCGTTGTGCAGCCATGGGAATTGCGGGAAGGTAGGTGTAGGTAGCCTCAAAACAGAAGAAAAACCGACAGATCAGTGGCTCAATTTAAGCTTTGTACATAAAGTAGAGGATGGCGAAGTGGTGAGTGCGGGACACTCCGTTATTTATTTAGTTCATAGCACTCTATCACGTAAGAAAGTTTCAAATGATCAGGACTGTGTCAGGAAGCTCAGTGCTGAACGAGTAGGAACCCTCAACAAAAACATCTTACGACCCCGCGATTGGTAGTTGAGATAAATCGAAGTCAATACACTATCTACCGTGGCTGTAGGCACAAAAAGTACCGCCAATAGATGCTCGGCAAGTTGACCCTGAGGAGAGCGGTCTAGAAGGGCGATCTGACAGGCTGGTCCAGGCCTGCAAAGGTGAGGTGACAGAAGCATTGCTCATCAAGGACTTGATAGCATTGTGGGGCGGCCCATCCTAGGGTACCGGCGATCTTGTATCTCTAGACATGGTTTCTGTCGCTCAGAACCGAGCAACGATCGGTCAGATGTCTGAAACACTTCGACATTAGGGATAACGGGCGCGCTTAAAGTCATTTGACCTCAGCTCTGCGTGGCCAGTATTGGACACACATCAGAAAGACTAAGCGAAGGAAAGGGTGCAACAGCGAGGTCATCCATCAATCACAGGCTCATCCATCTGGAGGGATTACTCTCCCGGTTTGTTAGCATTCTCTTTTCTTCTTCTTCGCATGTTTTCTTTTTTTGCAAAAAGTTGGTCCGACAGCCAAGCTCGAACCGAGGGAGCGCTTGAAGCGGTTGATTGGAGAGGAAAACTCCGTGGCTGCACGGCGGCACTTCATCCCGTCCGTATATGCGTCATGATCTCGGCTTCCTTGCCGCGGTTTGTCTTAGTGTACCAACTCATCATATTGCATCGGATTACGCCGATAGTGAGTGTTCAATCAGTGATTGCACAGGATCATAACGTCAGTGCCGCCATTGCGATTGTCTTACGCTTTCCTTCAAGTGGACTGCTGCAGTACATCTCTCAAGATCTTACAGGTGCTAAAAGTTTTTTGTCGCTGCCGCATTACTGGGATTAAGTAAAGTTACTGTAATCTATATCTGGGTTGCCTAGAGTAGTCGCTGAAGATAATAGACATGCTGAAGTAACCGAGGAGAGCCGTATTATTGGCGCCATCATGACTCTTTATATACGTGGCAAACTTCTGATTAGTAGGAAGAAGCCGATCGGTACGGACAATGATTGGATCATCGTGAGCGAAGTGACAGATCTTCAGTATGGTCAGCAGTGGCATAATGTATGGGGATGAGTATGTTGGATTGACGACTGTGTCTGGATAAAGGGATGCGAGAAATGTGTTGAATAATATGCAAGAACCGGTGATGACGGGTAAATACAAGACAGAACCCCGCTCGGACCGGGATGAGACGGAATCCCTCATTCAAGCACAACAATCACCTTTTGATCAATGGACTTCAGTAGTATTGCATTAAATTGACACCATTTATCCAACAGCTCGGCCATGCCGGGCTAGATCGTCGTCTATCTCTTCTCCTGCGTCCGAATCTGGCCAAGAATAGAAGAAGGGGGGGTTTTGTTTTCCAGGGAGGCTGTATAGGGCTAGCCCGTCCATACGGGCAATAGTAGTATTAGCTCGCCCGCCGATAGAGATGTAACTTGGAGACCCCGCCTCCGACGGATAGCTCAGATGCGCATCCGTTGATTGCGGACACAGGGCGAGGAGTTAGGAACGATACTGAACGTCGCGTCCCACCTCAATGCAAGGTTACTGTATGAACGTTTCACCACCCAAACGATGTTTTTGACATTAGGCTTTAGGCCGCCAAGTAGTGCTCTTAGCATCATGACGAGACCCCGTGGCTTGAAGTTAACGATGCGGTAGAGGCTAGGATTACCCGCGGCCGGTCTCCTCCACATACGTGGGCTTCGCAGGGAGTCATGTGTTGCCCCCGGCCAGGCAAGGACACCAGCAAGTTGAACTGAGCTATGGTTCCGCCCCGCTCATCTTGGCTATTCGGGATACGGAGAGGTTTTAACTGTAATTCAGCAGCAGATCACACATGTCCAAACATAGTCACAAAGCCATTGCATGGATGCTCGCCCTACGCCTCTAGCTTATCCCTAGCTTAAAGTTCATCCGATAACGTCCTAGCAGCAAGCGGCAATTCGAGGAAGACAGGGGCATCACAATAGTATGATTTCTATGTCATGGAATTCCTCGGCAATCGTGCTGTTCGATCTCGCCCTGCCCTGGTGCGATCGTGGTAGCCCCACATAAACAATACCTGATAAGGACTTGGACGAAGGAGTGCAAGGGCTCACACCGGAAATGCTGCGGCTTTTGAGTTCCTCGCCAATCCGAATAATCTTCACATTCCGATCTATTCCAGGGCAACGACATTGAAGAAGACTGAAGCGGAAAAGGAGGTGTCAGATAGTGTGCCGGGAGACGATCCTGCTATCTGCCGCGTCAAAGACTGCTTGAGTCAAATTTACCAACATTTGGAGCTGATCATGGCGCACCAAGCCGAGGCGCAAACACAGCCCGGAATTTCTCTGCGCCCAAAATCTGTCTTTAGAGAAACACTCGAAGGCTTTGATTTCATGGATGTAGTCCATCATGAAGAAACACGCGCAAGACTCGCCACCCTCAAGAAGGCCGACGGAGGCTGGGTTAAGTTCACAAGAGAGATTGGCGCTACCATTCTGTTCGGGGGAGGGTTTGGCGACCTCTTCCAACCGAAGAGTGGTATAGAAAACGGTAGCTCGTGTCTACTGCATTCCTCTGTCCCAAAAGGAGAAAACTATCTTGCCGCCTGCGTCACTGACTTGTTGTCCATCATCAAGAACAATGGTGACATCAGCCCTCGCTCGCGGCTCTTAATCAAATAGACCATGAGTAAGACCAGCAGGCCTAAGCCTCTTAATGCCATCGAGCATTATAGCTCTTCTCCGCTCCCGAGAGAGAATGGTCGCGACAGAGTCGAAGATCTAACATCAATGCTTTCCCTCGCGTTTCCGTCGAAGGGGCAGAATCTCGTTTTTCCGGCAGAGAATACTTCTGGCGCCGTCCTTTTCGGATACAAGATATGACTTCGACTGTGAGGGAGGGAATACAGCCACCGCTACGCTTAAGATATTCTCAATATCAAAAAGCAAGACAACTTATCTTGTGCAATGATACCATGATTTTATAGTATGAGCAACGTGGCTATATTACCGTTTTGTGTTACAAAACTCCAATACAACGTATATGATCATGGTTCTGTCAAGCTCAGAGACAAAAAGGCATCCGTTTCATGACTGCGGGCTCGGACTAAAAACGAGGATAGATTCGATTAAGGTAAGGTAGTACATGTGTGAAGTGATCATAGAATGCATGCGCTTGAGTAACAAGACTGAAATAAGAGATTCTGTAGACACGCGTTCGTACCGAAGGCCTTCATGTTCTCAAATCCTATGGTCATGGGGTGAAGCCTGCCGGAAAGTCGGGGACTCATTCACCGCCGAGAAGCCAAAGCTCAGCCCCAATGTCCCTCCCCTTCCTATCTTTGTCCCAAAAGCGTCCCATCATCCCGTCTGGAAAACGCCCGAGTCGCAGTCACAGGACATGACACATTCCTTACCATCTCATTGGTTCAAAGAGATGCTGTACGACTACGGGCGGACGTCCGGTCCGGGTCCTCATCCACCCGACTCGTCCAACGGCATCGGCCTTTGACGCCAAACCTCCGAAGTGGCGCACCCGCACACATGTGTACACGGACTATTGTGACACCGGATATTGGATGCAACAAGCCACTCGGAGATGCTATTCGTAAGCAGACATGGAGCTATACTGAGCGAGCCACGAGACTGACTACGTTCCACAAAGGTATGACGATGGATCAGCTCCTTCGGGTGTCGTGCACTCTCAGCTTAAGGTAAGGTAGAATCTAAATATCGAGCTACCCCACACCAAATCTCACTCTCGATTTCCCCGGACCATCCATCCGCAGATCCTCCAAACATCATCTACATCCCTAGATCCACCGTGGGAATACCTTCACAGCAAACCAACACAACACGACAACATGGCGATCAAAGCCTCCACCGGAGTTTGCAAACCCTCCGAACTAGCCCACCTCGTCCTCCGCACAGCCAACCCCGAAAAGCTAGTCTCCTTCTACCAAACCTTCCTCGATGCAAAAATCACCGCCTCAAGCCCCCTCATCACCTTCCTCACATGGGACCACGAGCACCACCGCCTCGCCATCCTCAACGACCCCACCGCCGTCCCGCGACAGGACAACACCGTCGGCATGGACCACTTCGCCCTGACCTTTGACTCTCTCGGCGACCTGCTGCAGTCTTACAAGGCTCGCAGAGATCTGGGCATTGAACCTATTTGGTGCGTCAACCACGGCATGTCGACTAGTATGTACTACCGCGATCCGGATGGCGGCAAGATCGAGACGCAAGTAGATGTCTTCGTGACGAAGGAGGATGCTGTTGCGTACATGATGAGCGCGGAGTTTGGAGAGGATCCCAGGGGGCCGAGGTTCGACCCTGAGGAGATGGTCAAGAGGTTTGAGGCTGGTGAGGATGAGAAGAGTTTGATGAAGAGGACGGCTTTTGCGAAGGAGGAGGTGAAGGTATGATATTTAGGCTGCGTTGTGCGTTAGGATGTTGTGGTTCCGAGAATCAGATTGAATTTCGTGGATGCATCGTGCTCGCACGTGTAAGTCATAGGTGCACTTAGTAATTGCATACAACGATGCTAAAAGCGCACTTAGCATATAACTGAAATACGACTAGTATTGAATTCTGAGAAGTCTTCTTGAAAGCCTGCTATTTGTTGGTGTGTGGTACTAGACTGATTGTTCTGCTCCCACATGAAAGTTGGTGCTAGGAACATGTGGCCAGACACCTAAAAGCAACAACCTCAACCCTCAGTTCGAAGGCCTCATGACTGCAGATGGATTCAGAGCTGGGCTATGAACTTAGCTAAGAAGTAAACGTGACAGGAACTCTTTATGTTCGCGCCTTATCGGCTCGATTGCAAACTGGCAAACTTATATTCAAGTGCGTACTCGTCTATCTTGAGTACGTAGGTGATCATGAGAAAAGTAGTGCTCAACTTGATAATATATCCTTTATTCCCCGTTTGCCGTAAACGTCACCTTAGCTCAGAGCGCATTTGAAGAAAACATGGAGACATTCATATTGGGACTGTTCCCCAGTCGACGGGGTAAGCGCCATGCCAGACATAACGTAGCGAAGGTACATGTAGGGGCCGGGAACAGGGGGCGGTATGATCTGACGCGAGATGCACCCTTGCTCTGCCAAATTTGCAAGAGTCTACTTTGCTTGTCTTGTCAGAGGACAAAGAGCGTAGTTGACTCCCGAAGAGACAGTCTCTGACAGAGTGAAAGCCGAATATATCAAAAGATTGCTCTTCAGGTTGGTAGGAGAATGATCCAAGTTGATTGGATTGTGTTGCAGACAACATCGTGGCTTGGAGTGTCTAAAACCGACGGAAAATCTTTCTTCAGTAGACTACTCAGACATGCGTTGAATAGGACCGTCCAATCTCATACCTCGGAGACTCTGAATAAAGGATCAAAGATTGAATGAGAGAATCGCGGCTACGGGCCGCCTTCACATCGCATGCCCCGAACCCTCTACGTTGCCGACCATACTCCGTTCAATCCTTATACCATTACCTTTTAGCGCAAAAGGAAAGACAGTTTCCCCAAAGCTTCATTTCCGTCCATACGACACAATTCCTCATTCCAACAAAAGCCAGGGCATGCGCCTTGGTTTTTTCTTGCTGTGGCTGGGACGAAACAGCATCAGCCAAGCCTTTTTGGCAGGCCTTGAGTGGCTTTGAATCTCCGAGGGCTGCAGATGACCCCTGTCATCAACTTTAGTTCAGCCCCCAGCTGCCCCCAAAACTGCGCCTTTGGCGAGTGTCGCGCTGCTGTCTGGCCCGTCGAGAGTTACACCGTCGCACTCTCGGTGACGTCAAGAGGGACGGGAAGTGGCTTGGCAGCGCGTCGTCGCGCCTGGACTCTCGAGTCTCTTGGCTCTCTTTAGCGATGTGTTGTTTCTGTGCTCTCTCTGTGTGTGTTGTCTGCCTCTGTCAAGTACGACTTGCACTACGTATTGCCTGTTTGTGGTGATGCAGCTGCCAAGGATATGATGAACATGGCGGTGATGGTGAGAAAGCACGCTTGGCATATTACCTGGAGGTTTCCCCCTTCACTGCTTGGGCAACAACCTCGTCTTTCTCTTTCGCATGATATTTTGGTTGAGAGAACTCCATCAGGATATCGTCAAGACTCACTTCGGTGGATAAACCACCATCCTCTTCCCCTCCTGGTCCCGAGTATCACCTAATAGGATCTATCCTCAGACCTTAAGAGCAACATTGCTTCTTAAGATGGCTCGCTTCAACCCTTTCGCACGTCGTCGGCAAGACACCACGACCCTTCCGACACATCGCAAAAGTAGCCAGGAGACAAGGGTCAATGATCACTGGCATGGAAAAGACTACAGCATGGCTCACCGGCCGCCCTTCATGCTCTGGCTCAAGGTGACATGGCTAGACATCCTCACCATGATCATCATGGGAGTCATCGCCCTAGTGGTACACACCTTACCTCGCATCCGACCTCTGACATTCAGCTAACACCACATATCCAGGTCTTCAGAGCGCACCCGCCAGCACACCGAACGTTCCCCGTCACATTTGACAACGGCGAGGTCGTCTACCCCCAATTCGCGTACCCGCACATCCCGCAGTACATCCCCAGTCACGCCGCCACCGCCCTCGGCATCGGCGTGCCCATCCTCTCCATTCTCCTCTGCCAGATAAGGGTGCGCTCCTTCTGGGACATCAACAACGGCATCATGGGCCTGCTCTACTCCGTCATCGGCTCCACTGTCTTCCAGGTCATGATCAAGTGGCTTATCGGCGGCCTGCGTCCTAACTTCCTCGAAGTCTGCCAACCCGACATTAGCAAGGCCTCCCAACCGGGCGGGAACGCAACAGGCCTGGACGGGACGGGCTATGGAGGCATCATGTGGACGTCGGATATCTGCACCAGGGAGATGGACGGCACGCTCTCCAACGCGATGGAATCTTTTCCCTCGGGGCATACGACTGCAATGTTCTCGGGCATGGTGTTTCTGTATCTCTATCTTAACGCCAAGTTCAAGGTCTTTTCGAACCATCACACGCCCATGTGGAAGCTTGTCCTCGTATACGCTCCGATCCTCCTCGCTACCCTGGTCGGCGGCTCCCTAACGGTCGACCAGTCCCATAACTGGTACGACGTTCTGGCGGGCGCCATCATCGGGACTATCTTTGCCTTTTCGTCGTACAGAATGACCTACGCCGCCGTTTGGGACTGGCGTATCAATCATATTCCCCTCCACCGCAAGATGCCTTTGGACTTCAACCTCGAGGCTATCGGAGAGAATGGCGCGGTGGTCACACGCAAGGCCGGATGGGGTAAGAGACGCGAGGAAAAGAAAACTGGTCTTGACAGAATGGTTAGCAGGACAAGGTACACCAGCGGCAGTAGGGATACGCGAGGTGTTGGTGTGCCCCGTAAGGCGGTAGCATTACACCACTTGAGAGGCGACTGGCGTCCTTCTGGCGAGGACATGGTCTAGTCGGTCGCCGACTATCGCCGAGTGGGAATTTTGTTTGGTCCAAGGAGTTACGAATGATACCCAGATCTGAGATTGAAGCAAGCGTGGTCCGCGATAGCGCTATCAACGATGGCACGAGAGCAAGCGCTGTCGGCTCAGATACCTCCGTGTTTTACTTGTCTAAGGTACATAGTACTCATAATTAATACTACGCAACAAAGTTTTATTCAAAGCATCAACAAATTTCGGACTTCACCTCCCAATCATTAAAGTCTGATCAGTTTCTCTTGGCTTGGCCAAGCTTCACAGACACGGCATTGGCTTTCGGGGCGCACGTTCATAAAATGTCAATGGTATCATATCGAACCTGACACTAACGGCCACGCTGGTCCAGGATTGTACATGCGGTGCGGCGTACTCGGCACCCGCGGCGCAACTAGACTGCTTCTTCATGAGGTAATGAAGGCGGGTGCCCACGTGCTGCCATGTCTTGGTCTGATGTAAGTCGTATTGATGGGACACAGTCAAGTCTGATGTTCTATGGGTCACTCGAAGTTGCTCCACTACCCAGCACTGCCATGTGTCTTTGCGTCCCAGGTGCGAGGTTGCAGTTGCGGTTGCGGTTGCAGGCTACTACTATCAAAGTTTAAAAATAGCTATAGCTCTACCTCAAACGTACTTACCACCAGCCGCGGTTCTCTGGCTCAGAAACACAACGGGAGACTGACGGGAGACCGGAGGTCATTGCCCATTGGGACGAGTCGTTCTAGTCTCGAACTTTCGCGGGAAGCTTGTGTGAGTTACCATGTGTATGTCAGTGTGCGTCAGTTGTGGGATTACGGACATGAAGCCGTTCTGGGGTACTGCTGGTGCATGAGCTTGAACGCGAAAGCGCAAGTGCACCACACCGCAGCGCAAAACTCAATTCCGCAGACGTCACGATGGGCCCTCAACTCCTTTGAATCAGTTGCACATCATTTCGCCGTTTGTCTCGTTATTTTCTCAGACTTGTGAGGTGGGAGTCTCGCACATATTGAACGGTTCTTTTCGCGAGTCAACAGGAACAAAATCATTGCCCCGTGGGCTGCTTTCGCATGAGTCTGTGGTGTCTTGGCGCGCAAAGCGTTTCTTGGCGGCCTGAACTCTATCACAAAGATGCATCAGTCAGCGGATTTTTTGCGCTTGCTGCCCGCTCCAACTCACTGCCCCCCTGAGTTGCAGATCAGGTCCCAAAGAGTAGTCTTTCGGGGCGGGAAATCAGAGTTTTGCTACCTTACACTACGTGATTGAACTCTAATAGTGAGGCAAACAAGCAACCTTCGGGAGGACTCCGTGCTCTTGAGTGAGCGACAAACGATGTCGAGCATCTTACATCGCCAATATCAAACCTTCCTTCGTCGTTGAAAATAGAAATAAGCCCGTCTCGGCGACTCTTTAAGCCTCAAAATAAGGTCGCATTGAGCCCAGCCAGGCGGATACTAGAAGAGGGCCTCCCGCAACCCCAGGCATGCTCCGCACAACCGAGACTCCGAACAGGAGAGAGATCAGTTAACAACATCATGTACGGACAGCGTAGCATGGAGCTTTGCCTTAATCTGGAGGAAACCCGACAAGACGCCCTCATCCGCACGGATAGCAACCGTCCCCGTGCCCGCCCCGAGATCTCCGGGATCCGTAGACTAATCGGCTCGCCCGACCTTGACCCCTTGACCGGATAGGAGTCAAGTAGATTGGCTCAAGCAACCCCGCCACCTATGAGGGGTCCCCCTCCCCTCTTCTAGAAAGACCTGTCAGCCTGTCAGGAACGTCAACTCTTACTTGACATGAACCTTGGAGGCGAGCAGCAAAAGCAGCAAAAGCATCTCAAAGAGGCCAAGACCATCCGGCCACCCAAAGGGCTACAAACTCAAAAATGCCCAGACCATTAGGCAGTTTGACATATGATGTGCAATTAACCCGCCTCCGCTCTCCCACCTTGGCCTTATGTTAATCTTTCTTTTTACTGCGGTCCACAGCCAAACTGTAGGTTATACTAGGTAATGGCCAACCACGCAGGCGGGATGAACTCTCGGATCATCTCCCGCTGGAGCTGCCATCCCGGACGGTCGAATCTATACCAGACGACCCATATTGCATAGCTGTTCCTGAATGAGTTCCACTTTGACATTCTTGCTAACACTGACCAGTTCGAACTGTCTTGTGACTGTCACTTCCTTCTCTTGTGCCTACCGTTGAGAGATGCCGCCGGTCCATGTCCTTTTTGGGGCAATGAAGCTGTGACCCTGACCGATTGAACACATCAAATGTCCGTCCATTCCGTAAAAGAAGAGGGAGAGTACTGGCCCACCTCTCGCACAAAAAGCTGTTCTCTCTTGCTGATCTCATCAATATACGCAAGATTGTGGAGAGGGCTAGGCGGTCGTCGAATATATCCAAACATCTTGGCTTGTATCTGCAGGTGGGCTACCGGTGAGGTTTCTCCATACTAAATCACTTTGCAATTTACAGAGCACAGGGGCATGCTCAGATGCGAAGAACAACCAGGTTCAAAAGCCATTGACTACGCGACGCTGGTGAGCCTCAAGACAAGATATAAGACAGTCTTCTTCGTCCTCCGTTTATGAGCAGATCTTCTCTCCACATCAGGCTTCTCATCGCCAAACAAACATTCTCTTCACTCCCCTCCTTCAAACACACACCTTTTCTCCTACATACTCTCACTGTTTTATCTCATTTGTAGTTACTTGTGTTTCTTTCTTTTCTCATACACAAAGTCTGGTACTATCAACAACATCAATCTTAAACCCCCTAAAGACCACCCCCTTCACCGACACCATCATCAACATGGCGTCCCGGCTGGTCCTCTTCTCCCTTGCCGCACTGGCTGCCGCGAACCCCATCAACCCAGATGGCTACGAGCGGCCGGCCCGCCGACACGTCGGAGGCATTGGTCATCTCGCCCGCGCCGTCATGGCGCCTCAACAACCCCGCGGTGCGCCCGTCGAAGGTCCCGCTAGAGTCGAGATCAGATATGCCAACCCGGGTGACAATGGAACTTGCGAGGACACTCCAGACGTTGGATCGAGCGCCGAGAAGGCAAAGGATAAGAGCAAGGATAAGAGTAAGGACAAGAACAAGGATAAGAGCAAGGACAAGAACAAGGACAAAAACAAGGATAAGAAGAAGGGCGGCAGCGGCTCCGGATCTGGTTCCGGCTCAGGCTCAGGCTCTGGTTCAGGCTCTGGTTCTGGTTCTGGTTCAGGTTCTGGTTCAGGATCTGGTGGTTCCGGAACTGGCAGCTCCGGTGGGGGTGGTAGCACCGGAGGCGGCAGCTCAGCTAACAACGGCACTCTCCCCGGTGGTGGCGGCGGTTCCGGCGGCAGCGGCAGCAGCGGCAGCAGTGGCAGCATCGTAAAGACCTTCCCGACACCCGCCGGCACAGAGAATCTCTCCGCGGCGAAGACTATTTCCGGCAACTTTGACGGCGGCATGAAGCTCTATGACCGTGTCCCTAGCACATGCACGGGCAGTGAGGGCGGACAAAAGGACGCCGCCTTCATCTTGGCCGACGGCGCCACGCTCAGCAACGTCATTATCGGAGCCGGTGCTGGAGAGGGTATTCAGTGCCAGGGCAGCTGCAACCTCGTCAATGTGTAAGTCATCATCTTACGTCCAACAAATCTTGATCCAAAGCCACAGACTAACACATGAGAATCAGCTGGTGGGACAAGGTCTGCGAAGACGGCGCCACCTTCCGCCAGACCAGCGGCACCTCCACGGTCAAGGGCGGCGGCGCCCGCGACGCTCCCGATAAGCTTTTCCAGCACAACGGCGGCGGCACGGTCGAGGTCTCTGACTTTTACGCAAAGAACGTCGGCCAGTTCTGGCGCTCGTGCGGTAACTGCAAGCAGCAGACTGCTCGCACTGCGGTCTTCAACAACATCTACGTCGACGGCGGCAAGACGGTGGCTCACTACAACGGCAACCTCGGTGACAAGGTTACCATTAACGGCGCTTGCGTCGTTGGCGGTGCCACGGTGTGCAAGAACTCAAAGGGCGTCACTGGCGGTGGCGAGCCTGGTAATGCGGCTGATGATCCGAAGATCTGCGTGCAGACTGATGTCAAGACGTCTGGCTGCTAAAGATGTTCTTTGGTTATTGTTCACGGGGAAGAAAATTCAGGGAGGTTGGTTTGACTTGGTCGCTAGGACTCCAATGTCTGTGTATCTTATTCTTCTCTGTATATCACGCCTCGGGACTGGTCCTTTGGGATTCGGACTGGATGTCTCGGAGTCAAAGGTTCTGTTCGAGCTGTAAATACTTGTATAACTGCAGGATTTGCAGGTCAATCAAGCACATATCTCTTCATGTCCTGATGTACCTAGCGATGAACTTTTCACACGATGAACTCGAGCGGTAGCCCTCCTGATCAGCCGTCGATAGTAACAGCGGATCACAAATTCTCGAAGTCCTGCGAGGGATTGTCACCTTTGCAACCGGCTGCAACTGGATGGTCTTTATTCATTTTGAAGAAATCTAGCAAGATTCTGGTGACGTCTTTGATGGTGACGGAAATGGTCGATTTGCACAAGATTCCTTGTCCGTTTGGGTGCGGAGCAAGATTACCTCCAGCAACTAGACATCACAAGGTGATGATGCTACTGAGGAAACACTCTCCGGTCAGCCCCCTCAAAGGGCAGCGGCTGCAGCAGCCGCGGCAATAGGCGCCGCTGGCATGCTCCGCTTTACACGGTCGGCAGCATTGATAGAATCTCCCTCGTCATCGTCGTTGTTGGGGTTGACGGCGTTGCAAGTCGGGTTGACAACGTCAGAGACGCCTAATTGGAGCCATGTTCCCACGTCAGCTACAGTGTTCTTCGGTTGTAAACGAATTATTAGATGTAAGACATAAGGAAGACCCACGAGACAGGTCTGCCACCGTACAGCCGGCGCTCGAGCCGCAGAGCACCAATCTGGTGAGGAGGATTCCCTTATCAGCGCAAAGGCACTTCAGATCGTTACTGCCACAGCCGATTTGTCCAATGACCTTGGTGAGGCAGCCGGCCGCACAAGGGCCGATTTTAGAGGCGAGGTCGGGGACGGAGGTGGCCGTGTTCCCGGGTGCGGAATCGGTCTGACTCTGTGCCAGTGCGAAGTAGGCGAGCAGCGCCGGTACGAAGACAGCAAATGAACGCATGCTGGAGGTTGGATCGTTTGAAATGCGAGTGATACTAATAATGAGTTTTAATGTGTGGGTCTTTGAAGAATACGAAGGCTAGCACTCACTACCTACTTCTTAAAGGTACAATGGTTTAATGGCAAGCAGAAGATTTGATATATAAAATTGTCTATACAAGCGGCCAAGGAGTCCGCTTTAGGCATCCGTGATCCAAACTCAAACCTAGGATTCGTTGTTTCTAAGATGTGTCATCCAACGAGCAGGATATGCATTGTCAAGTTTGACTGTAACGCCACTATGCAAGGTCAGACGATAGCATAGGTAGCTTCTACACATCTAGAAAATATAGTCTTCTGACAAGATTGCATGCACCAAATAGGATCGGAAGATTGAAAAGGAGCAGGTATTACATCCTACTGCCATCTAGCGCGTTCCGTATATGCCTGCTTGAAGTATCTATCTCGCCCCTTACGCGCAACTTGGCCCTCTGCCGACCACTCTGTCATGGATCTAGATGCGGTTCATACTTAGATGCGGATGCAACTTGATTATCACCCAGATCCTTCTCGCCTATTACCATGCTTCAGACAGCTATGATTTGGTCAGCTGGTCATGAGGCAAAGGCCCCCGCGCCGCAGACCCCGGGGAAGACGAAGGCGTTGACGCTCGACTACTTTGTCAACTGAAACCGCACAAGCCGGCGAGCCCGGAAGGGGCACTGACAGACGCTGCTGTCGCATTTCCGCGAGGCATATTGAACCAACGATGCTCCTTTGAGGAAAGCCTCATTGAGTCAAGCCTTGCTGAGATTACATGGCGCCGCATTCTTTACGATGTAACCAAGTGAAACAGTGAACCAACCAGAGAAATGCTTCAACCCACGGAAGTAACCAAACGGTCCAATAATGATTAAAATTCACGATTTCGTGTCAGCATAGGATAAATAACGAGTCCAGAACGGATCTGTTACGGATTCGTGTCCTACATGCGTGTTGCAGTTTCTAAATTAGATAGCACGGAGAACAATCAGCAGATCGAGCATTATACATAAGTAAATAGCGCCGAGATTTCATTTGGATTGCTAGCGGTTTTCCAAGTTGGATGTGCCTGCAGGGTTCATAGTTGAAATGGTACGACATTGGTTCAAGATGATGCAAGATTGGTCGAAAAAACTCAAGATTCTAAATATTCATGAACTCCTCATAGGACCACTATTGAGTTGAATACATTCTAGAGGTGATAAGAAAGCTCGGCACCCTGCACTTTAGAGTAGAAGGTAGTAATAGCAGCCGCCAGATCCTCGGGAAGAGGACCAGCCTTAAGTGCATCAAGTGTCGAGTAGAGTTGCTCCACCCTGGAAATACCAAAGATAATCGCATCGCCGTATACTACATCTAAGTTACTATGGAATGCTATCTATTCCATAGCGGCTGCGTATCCGCCAATGCTATACTTCTCTATAAGCTTGAGTATCGTAGATACCGTAAGACGAACTAGAGGTTTCTGGTATATATAAGTATATACCTTACCGATAAAATTCTGTTGTCTCGTTAGAGTAAGTGAGACTACGATGGTATTGAAACTTACGTCACTCTTCCACCGGCCTGATGAAGCCTTGTGCCCCGAGAAAAGGCCACCAGCTGCGAGACTGATAGGATGTGAGACTTAGTTCCCTGAAAAACATACTCGATGATATACCTGTATACATAAAATGTCATGTTATGCTTGCACAATAGGGGAAACAGCTCCTCCTCGCCTCCTCGCACAATAGCTTGAAATGCCCTCGTACACACTGGGCTTGGTGTACCCATTTTGCTTCCAGATCCCTAGAACCTTCTGCACCTCGGCGGTAGAGTAGTTCGATAGGCCGTAGTTCTTGAACTTTCCCTGGTTCAGAGCAGCGCCCATCGCTTTTATCGTGTCCTCGAAGGGGTTCTGGCGATCCGGAAAGTGCAGGAACATCGTCTCGACGGTGGATGTTTGAAGATCGCTCAAAGACTTGCCAATGCTGACTTCAAATTGAACAGGCACCCTGAACGATACATTGTGTAGGCAACGTTGACCGCCGCGCTGCTGCCTAGCAAGTAGTCTCATAATCAAGGTTGGGTTATGACTTCATTGGGCGAGAGGACTGCGCCTCCGCAGTCCCATACAGCTCTTTAACTTCATTTGGTAAAGCCGTACTTCACAGTACTAAGAACCATTACCCAGGCATACAATCGTTACGGAAAGCTAGTAATCATCTAACTGTCGGTGACAGTGACCTCGTTCCCATAATCCGATTCCTTACCCACTCACACCGCTCACCCATGCTCACCCCAGCTCACCACGTTAGAAGCGGCGGGGAATCCGGGCACACCTAGGCGTTGTATTGGCGGTTCCTTGAGGCAAGATTTCATATCATCGAGATCGTACGGCTCATTCCCATAGTCTGAATTGGTCTCTTTCGCATCAGGGTCATCCTTATCTTCTTCGTAATCTTCCTCTTCGTAATCTTCCTCATAGCCCTTTTGATAACTTTCTTCATGGCTGTCCTCTTCATACCCTTCCTCCTCCTCCTTCTTCTCCTCCCCTTGCTCCCTTTCTTCATCAATAAAGACCTGATTTTCTTCATGGAATGAAATGTGGTCTTCCTCGTCAACAAGAATCTTGTCCCCTCTGCCAACAGGGACATGATCTACTTCATGGAATGAAATATGGTTTTCTTCGTCAACAAGAGTCTGGTCTTCATCTTTAACAAGAACCTGGTCCTCTTCGCCAACATAAACTTGATCTTCTTCGAAGTGCTCCGTTTTCACGTTTCGAAGGCCAGTGTTGCCGGATGGAAAGCTGTTCTCGTTTTCCAATGGTTCAGAGGGTTGAACCCTGAAAATGCTGGGCGTGGCTGACAGGGCGCTCTGGACCTGGCCTGCCTCTATCCTTAGACCCCAAATATTGGCCCATTCCGTGGTGAAATTGTGAGGATTCTTCCATCTGCTGGCGAAGCCAGACGGGTTGATGAGTTCCCTGTGCAGGGTCAACCTCAATCGTTCCCTGTCGTAGATACATATGTATGCTGTACAGTGCTCATCGCGGATTCCGCCCAGAGCCGCGCCGTCCGTGTAAGCAAGAGAAAAGACTTCCTGCGACTTGGGGGGATACGTCACGTCCGGATATGGAAATGGCAACATCATGATCTTCAGCGGCCGTTTATTCCAATTGATGGTGCCTCTACACATCTGCCCGCCGGCTTGGAACGTGGCGAGGTGGTCGAATTCGAGACAGAGAACACCGTTGTGGATGTTGACAAGACCCCAGTTCTGGCACATGTTGGTCGACCAAAGCGAGAAACATACGGAAGTCTCAAGTGAGTATGTAGGTAGAGATGCTGGATCGACTGCTTGTCGGTCGAGGTTGAGACACTTTTGGAACGCGAACTTGCCACGTTCGGCCTCCGTCGAGTGCCATTGATGAACAAGCTGCGCGTATTCCCTCTCATCTTGTATTCGCGAATCCTTAGCCTTTTCGGCCTCCTTCTTCGCTTTCTGTGAATTCTTTCTCTTCGCTTCCTCTTCTTTCCGTCCCTCCTCGGCTAGCCAATATTCAAGTCCCTCCGGAGACTTTGCGATCGTTCTCATATCTCCTGGATTCATTGCGTCGGTTCTTGCCCTTGCTTTTAGTGACACCTTTGCCGCTAACTTTACCCTGACCGCCGCTCGAGGTTTAACCATTGCAGTTGACCTCGCGGCTTTTGCCGGGTTTCTTGGGAGCCATAGTGAACCAAGCGCAGAGACCTTGCGAGTCTTTGAATATGCACAAAGGTGTGGTAGCGCGATGTTGCTTGGGTGGCGCTTCGGGAAGGGCGGGCAATTGTAGTGTAGGCAGCTCTATGATTGAGTAGCAATGAGTACGTAGAGAGGTGATTATCGATACTGCCCAAGTCTTATGAGAGACAAACAAATCATGTATCGAGCTTGGTGGCCAGCTTTGGTGATGAAAATTGTTGAAATCAAGGGGATGTGGCAAAGTGATGGGAGCTTCAGCGGCGTGGCCCCACGATGAGTTTTCACAGTAGGTGAGCGCGCACGCGTCGTAAGAATGCCAACAGGGGTTGGCTGGGTGTTTGACAGTTTGAAGATCAGGTGTATGACTCAGAGAATTTGCGAGATGGCAAGCTTCTCAGGCCAGGTTTGTTTCGACGAAGGTGATTGATGAAGTGCTCGTTGAAACTATTTCAGGTAAGTTGAGTCGCGTCGCTACCTAAGCATCCATAAGGATGAACGCGTCTGGTGAGGTCATCCCCCCTGATCCCCTGACGGAAACCTTAGTGAACCGTGATCTCTCTCCCTTTAATCACGGTACGACCACGTAAAACAACGCCAAACTCACTACGGAATACTATGTACGGAATAGGGCCCGGCCACTGGTCCCGACTGGCCGGAGTTAAGACCGGCGCATCCGAGATGTCTTCATGAGCGGTCTCCTCTCGGCTCGGAATGGATTGTGGAAGACTGAAGCCGTGTTTTTGCTATGAGCGCAATGTCAGGTCGTCACATGAAATACAAAGAAAACCCGACTTCGCCCAGCCTCCGCACGCTCAAATGCAGCCGCCATCTTTTCGAGCGTAGTCAAAGTATGATTGATTGGTGCCGTGAAATCTTCAAGCCTGGAAGTATCTGCTCAACTCAGTCTATCCACTTACAAGTAGCTAACATTGAATTTCGTTCAAGGTATCGTAGGAGTATTAATTGCCAGAGATGAATATGATAATCGTGGTATTAGAGTATGCCGACGACAACGCCGCTCAGAAGTGTCCCATCCCATCCCATCTCATTCTCATCTCATTCTTATCACATTTCGCTCATCTCACTCCCAAGATTAACTCATCACCGCCTCGCACCTCTCTCATGTCCTCACAAGCCACGCAGCTTCAATATTCGCCTTCGGATCCGGCGCCCCCTTGGCACTCTTCAACCAGCAATAATTCTCATCCGTCCCCTGCTTCCCCGCCGTAACCCACGCCACACCCACACATGGCCCATCAGCGCTCTGCGTCGTGACAGCAAGTGCCGCACACAGGTTCATGCAGTCTTCCATCCTCGTCAGCGGGATGTGGCCCAGGTCGTTCATCGGGTAATTGTTGCCGCACTCGCGCACGAAGCGCAGATTCGAGTTCGGCACTGTGTACGTCTTGTTCTCTGAACTAAGATCGGGGCAATTCGTTGTCGCTTCGCCTAGGATCGAGGAGGCTTGGCCTGGGAGCGGGATATAGGCGAGTGAGGTCGAAGTGGAGGATACTGATGATGCTGTTGCTGAGGCGGATGCTGAGAGTGCTGAGGCTCCCGAGGCTGATGCGGATGCGGATGCTGCTGATGATCCGCTCGAAGCGCACGCTGATGGAGATGATGATTGCTCAAGTTTGCTGCTCTAGTGTCAGACTCTGTTGCTTCCAAAATTTGGCTGCTCATGTTCACTTACGCTTGGCACGTCTGCACATACGCCGCATGCGCCTGTGCGATCGTTCCCGCTGCAGCAGACGCCCCAATCGTCCCCAGAAAGAAGACCAACGCGACGATAGCTACCCAAAACGTCGCCACCGGGATGCCCCATATCCTCTTATCCTTCTTTGGCGGCATCTCCGCTTGGCTTCCGCCGTACCCCGTTCCGGCCGTTGAGTGTGCGGGGTACTGGTGGCTTTCGTACCCGGAGCCGTATTGCTGATCTTGATCTTGGTACGGCGCGTATCCGCCTGGGGCAGGTGCCGGTACCGGTTCAGGGGCGGCGCCCGGCGCAGGCTGGTAGTACTTCATGCCCGGTGAGGGCGAGGCCACCTCGAGGCCCGCATATTCGGCGGGCATCAATCCTGTCTGGTATTTTACTTCGCGGTCCGAGTCTTGGGATGCCTGTCTGGAAGCGATGTTGCTGTTGTCCGGTGCGACCAAGTGTCTTTCCGGTGAACTTGATGGCATTGTTGAATGGAATGATGTGATACGCCCCTCGTCTATGTCCACCACTAATCAACTCGATGGATAGATGCTTGTGTATTAAGTAATGACTGAGATCAAGAGTGCCAAGTTGACCGTGACGATTTAGTGAAAGGGCATGAATTCAGAAGGCAAAATTTCTGAAGGACCACATCTCGAGCTGGTTCGGAGGGGTGGCAGCCAAGATATACACTTACAACACCCAGAAGAGAATGACCAGCAGCAAGCAGATTATTAGAGCCCAGGCCCATCCTTCATTGCCTTCATCAACCTTCAAGAGCAGGGGAGACGCACAGGACAAGTGATCCTCCAAGGCTCCGTAGACCGTGTTGAATGATCGACCTGTTGGAGAAAAGCAAGAATCAAGTCATGTTCCTCACCCTTGCCCGTCCCACTATGAGCGGGCAGCACCATTGACGCTCGTGGGCTTGGGAATAGGGACTTTGGTTTTCTCTTTACTCGAATCGAGCACTCCATATCGAAAAACACTTCCCCAATGGGAATAGCAGCATCAAAAGCTGTGTTAATGGATCCCCCATCAAAACTCGTAGGCAACGAGATGGTGTCCAGCGGGCAAGGTCATGATCCTTGGCGCTGTTGCGCCCGCTAGCTAGGGGGTGCGGCAGGGCGACAAGAAGATGACCTAGTAGGCCTAGGCAGCCCATTAAGGTGGTCGAATAACTCTGCAAGCGGCCGTGCACTTGGGGAGGTTGAGATGGCAGGGCCAGCGGGATGCAAGTGAGATTTGGAACTTTGCCTCTTTCCCTGGCTCTCAGTCTCTTACTGACACAGTCGCAGTAGAGCTGAGCTGCCAATGGCACCCTACCATCTCATGTAGGAACGGCCTCATCAACTCATGCTTTCGATAGACTCGTATCAGGGCTGCAGGAAGATGTAACGGTAGCCGCCAAGCCCATACTTCCTGAGGGGAAGCCCTGGCCTATTCTAAGCCACTGATCGCTGCGAAATTGCCGCTTGAGGCACTCGTCTAAATGACCCGGCTGCCAACACAGTCTGCGCGGCAAACTGGTCAATCACAGCATATTACAGAGTTTCATCGCCAGCTTTGAGGTCGAGTTGCTCGCGGCCAACGAGACCTCCTCCTCGACCCATCAGATCGGAAGATGTATTGATTCCAGGTGCTCGGGAAGTTCAAATACCAAGAATGATGGGTTGTAGTCACATACGAGAACCCAGCAGTCGATTCCTCAGAAACCACACGACAGACCTGAACGATGGAGGCCAACCCTGCAAACCCCAGCGAGTCCACCATTCAACGGAGTTCACATCCGACATGCTTAAACAGATGTCGACATTCCTTTTTCATACTCTCCACTTGTCTACTTTACCAAGGCAACAGCCAACAACGCTAAAACGAAGAAGCATCTCCTCACTTCCTACCCAGAACCCTCTTCCAGCGCGGAGTTGACGTCGTGTTCAAGATGGAGCCACCTGTACGGAGTAAGGCCTGAAGCAAATCCTCCAGGCAGAAGGATTGCAGCCGCAGCCCCCGGTAAAGTGACAGCCAAATTTCGAATTGACAAATTTCGGCTGCAGCCTCCGTCAGAAGAGGACAGGGGTCGGCCGCCGCTGAGACTTGAGACTCGCTGAATTGTTCGTATCCGTGCTCCGTAGGGCCCGTACTTTCGGAGGTCTTCGGGGCCAAAACTGAATTCTAAAGAGTACGAATATTTCATTCTTATTTTGACATTTCAGGGCTAAGTGAATTTTGCGAACGATGTACCGGGCTGCCGCGGATCTACCCTTGCTTTGTCCACGTCCACTGTCCGCCTCTGCTCTGTAGACTGACTGCCAGTTAATTTGAAGCATGATTCGGCTCCTTCTTTGAGAATCGATATCACAGGCATTGGGGGCGGTAACATCTTCCACATCGCATCATCACCTCCATCGCTCACCCACACATAGGTAGCTACAGCAATTGGGACGTCATCGAGACTTTCCGTCAATCCAGGGAATCAGCCCAAGTACCTTTCCCAAAGTTCTCGCCCGCAGTGGCCCAAGCCATCCCCGATTGCCACGCGCAGCAGCGCAGGAAGGTGCTTGAAAAGGGACTTTGGTTCCCAATGGCCCGGCCCTGGGCTCAGTCTAACCACTTTTCAACCACCGAAAGCTTGAATCTCGAAGCCGTAGCTGCGTCTCCGCCCATTTTCTGCCACAGTGAGATCTGCAAACACCATCCCGTACATGGTTGTTGATGATTCAAGGTAACCCCATCAGCCCAACTACGGATACAAGTGCTTGTGGGTATTCTGGGCAAAGTGCGAGATATCCGAAGGAGCAAATCATGCATGACACCACGGGGCCGCCCCCGGGTATGCTGCGACTTTTGTTGCTGGTTCTCGCAGACTCTACGCCTGTTTGCGCAAGACATTCAGTATGTACTGGTTTTTCTATTCCTTTTTTTTCTCTCTTACGATGTAATTGCGGTACTTCAATGACGTAAAAGCAAATGCTGACGTCCTAGGGCCCTAAAACTCTCGGCCCTGATGTTCAATGCGAGGTCTAGACGCTCTGCTGCGCAGTGTCTTCTTCTACGTCTGTAGCCTGCTCATCGACCTGGGTCTGCTCAGCGAGCTTAGCCTTCTTAGCTAGCTTAACGGACTTCTCGTGGGCCTCAGCACGCTTTTCAAGTTGCTCAAAAACGCCGTTTTCAACATCATCTTCTGCTAGGAGATTCTCCAGCGGCTTAAACCCCTTGCCCTGATTGATGTCATTTCTGAGCTCCTGCGCCGACTTCCACACCCACCCTTCGCACTTATTCTTCTCCTTTCGCTATTTAAACTGAAAGTCAGTCAAGTTATGTCTTCGCCTTCCCTCAAGCTTCCAAATATCATCCTAGCTCATTCACGAGACTGAGGAGACTCGGGGCAGGGTTCCGGGCGTTCTTCCACTCACCTCAGGCTCAGCAGTCTCATCCTCCATCTTACACCACACAAAAGTGGTAATATAATGCTTCCCCTCCTTCTCGAACTCATCACTTGTCCATGGCCCCTTCTTGATGGCTTTGACAACAAGACCGGTCTCCTCAAACGTCTCTCGCACTGCGCACTTGAAGGGATGCTCGTTCTTCTCAACGTGTCCGCCGGGCATTTGTAGCTTGCCTGTTCGTTCACAAATTAGTCAGCTTGCGGAGCGAAGTGGCTAGCAAAGTTTTGGCACGACTTGGATAACAGCCGGAATTATGAGGAACCCGGGAACGACTCTGAAGGCAGCCATCATCATGTTTTCTGGTTATGAGGGCTGTGGGTTTCAAATCTCACCTGCGCCATGACTACCCAAGCGCTTTCCGACAATTACCATGCCATTTCGCTCGATGATGGCCGAGACGCCCGAGCGGGTGTGAACGAAGTTGGGGTTCTCCTCGGGGGTTGGGGCCGCCATGTTTGCCCTGCGACCTTTCCAAAGCTATAAAAGAAGTGAACAGGCAGAATTCGCAGCGCAAGCCTTTCAAAGTGCGTCAAACAAGAAAGAGATATCTCTTGGTTGCAAGCGTCGTGGTGCTGAAGCTGGTCTGACTTGAACTGATGGAGAATGAGTAGTAATTCACCAGGGTAGAGGTTGACTCATATACCAAACCCAAACGCTCCCTTCACTGGAATCGCTCTTTGTTCGGCTCGAGACCTATCGAGCACATTCAGGACGGCAAATGTGTTTACTTCGTCTTTGTTGGACAAGGGATGCTGTTCACGTTGGTCGCAATCTGTTGGGCCGGTGAATGGAGGGCACAGGTCGTTGGTAAAGGGTAAAAAAAAAGTATTGATCGGCTTGGTCGCATAGCTGCAGTTTGCGGGGCCACCTAGGAAAATCAGCCTGGTCAGCCTTGGGCAAACTGTGTTTGTTCTTGCTTGAGGTGACACCATCTCACCCCATCAATACACTTCGTTCGTACTTCGCCTCCAGGCTGTGGGTAAGAGTACACTTGCAATCTGTAACAATGGCTCTTTAATCGATTTTGACATTCTGAAAGATACGTAGGGCACATTGGGCAAGGAAAGAAGTCGCTGACAAAACAGAGCCCCGCACACCACTTACTGTTGCGACACAGGGCTTAGCATCACCACCAAAGGCAGCCAAAACCTCAAAACATCAACCACAACATCACCACAACAACCCATACCTGAGTTCCTCAAAAAAGATGGACGATCTGGGAATCGAACCCAGGACCTACCGCATGCTAAGCGGTCATTATACCACTAAACCAATCGCCCATGTGATGATCTAGCCCGGACTTGAACCGGAGACCTTCAGTGTGGCAGACGAGAGAGATGAGGCTCTCGGGCTGTTAGACTGACGTGATAACCAACTACACCACCAGACCAAGTCATTGTTGAAGGTCGTGGACGAGAAGCCCGCTGTTAGGGCAAGGGCGTGGAGATGGCGGTGGTGGTTAGGTCGGCGTCGAGTGGATGTGGGCGGACGGGATTGAGGTTTAAGCGGATGCTGTGACGGCGGAGAGGTGCAAACCAATGAAGCATGGGGTCGATAATCGCCAGTCGTAGTTGATGCGAGGCGCCGCATCAAGTGTGAAAAGTATCTCATCATTCATTACATCTGCTTCCGTAGGGTATCATTACATAGCTCTCCGAGAGCCTTCGCGTGAGAGGAGACATCCAAAATCCATATCCAAAATAAACCATGCACATACTACACCGCAAACATCATACATCTTTACCATGCTCCCTTCTGGGGCATGTTGTCAGGATCCATCTCGAATCCCTTAATGCTCTCCTGCCAATTCTGCCAGTTGAAGTCATCCAAGTTATCCATGTTGACGTCCATGGAGTCAACAGGCACATTATTGATGGACGTGAACGGGTCAGACCACAGCCACGGAGGCTGGTTGTCCCCCAGAGACGACGCTACCGTAGGTTGTGACTGCATCGCGATGGCCTGCTGCTTCAGTCGCTGATCGTTATCAAGACCCTGTCCAGTTGACATTGCGGGCGATGGCACTGCCGAAGACATCATAGACTGCGATGCTTGCCGCTGCGAGGCGTTGGGCGGGAAGAGCGTGTTATTCGGGTCGGCTGCCATGGACTCCGCCGTCGGGTAGATATACTCCCAGATATGGTTGGGATTGAACCCGCGCGCCATCATCACCGTGTCGATGAACTCGGGTTCCCTCTGCTGCGGTGCGGGCGTCGGAGCCTGAACTGTCGGGTTCGCAGGCTGGGGAACCGGACCTCGGGGCGCTACGCTCTGCTGCTGCTGCACGGGTTGAATTTGCGTTACGTTGTTTGCCGGCGGTGGTAGCGGGCTTGAGCCGCCATCCGTCCGTACCAGGTTGCGCCAGCGGGTGCGAATCTGCAGGTGCTTGATTTCCATTCCGGGCACTGGTCCAAGTCTGGCCGGGATGGGATTCATACGATCGTCCACGTCCAGTTGGCGTGCTGCTTCCGGATCGGCTCTGAGACGGACAATCTCCGCCTCGCGATGTTTCGTCGCCTTTGCGCTTAGCTTCCGTAATGGGACCCATACAGCCATATGATCTGCCATCCTCGAAATTTCAGATGGGTCTCTATCGAATCGCATCGTGTTGTTGACAGCTTCCCATCCTCGCTCCGAGGTTGCTGACCATGGCCGACGCCCGCCTTCCATGAGGATGTAGGCAATCGCGTGCCATTGTCGGTAGGTCTGGAAAAGCCACCGCCATTGCTTACAGCGGGGATCCGTGTTTAGGATGTAGTTGTATTCAACGATTTCAATGGCTGAGATGAAGAGCCTGTCGCGGATCTCGTTGGATAGTTCGTGGCCGTTGCCAGGGAACAGCATCGGTTGATAGATGACAAGACTCATCTTCGCCATGATAACACGGGCGATCATGGCCGCCATCCAGAAGAGGGGGTCGTCGTCGGTGAAGCAATGCTTGAGGAACTTCTCCTCAACACGGTCGTAAACTTCGATCAGCATGCGCTCGCGCTCCTCGAGACTTGATGCAGCGTCCTTGGGACAGACACCAGCCATGGCTGACCCCACCGTGTGTAACCGCCGTGACAGTGCGCAAATTTCGTATCTCACCAGCGATACGGCGCAGTCGGTCTTGCCCAGGCGCGATTTGGGAACCTCTGTCATTCCCGGCTCAATATCTGAATCGTTCAAATTAGAGGGTAGTTCGGTGTCAAACGATCGGTCGATGATGGTGAGATCGCTGCCAAGCTCTTCTGCAGAGCGAAGATCCAGGGTGCAGATAGCCCACCACAAGCGACGTCTCATTTCGGTCTCAAAGGGGGGAAGATTGAAGTTTGTTCCGTCCCGATGGATGCCCAGTCCTTGTGCGATACGGATCGCCAATCCGGTCAGCGTCCAGCAGAATCGGGTGTCATCCTCCCTGCGGACCAGCGTGAGGAACATGACAAAAGCCTGAAGGACCACCATGTCGGAGGTATTGAGGAAGTTGGCCTTTGCGAGTGCCTGCTCGAGGGCGAAGCGATACTGTGAGAGCATCTCTTCCTTCTTTGATCCAAAGTTCTTCTCCACCTGTGAACTGGTTAGTCATCGTCAAGTGTGATGGATTTTGACATGATATGGACTTACCTCTTCATCTTCCATGGATGTGATTGCTGCATAGTAAATGGAAAACAGCAGCGCTTCGTTACCGGCAGTCAGCTCGTCGATATTGCGTCGCATGTCGCGAATGAGCTTCTCCATGGTCGGGATATGCAAGATCTTGAGCAACGGTTCCACATTCTCCTGGTAAACCTGCCACATGAAGGGTATCTGAGATGGCAAGGGATGCAGCTTGCGCAAGTCGACATCGGAAGACCGATATCCCAGGATAAAGGCATGATGGTCCGTCGCGGCGTCGGTATCCTGTATTGGAGAGTGATCTGGCGTGTCCTCGACATCTGAATCATCGGTATCTTGATCCAACGCATGCGTCTCTTCTCGAAGCTCGTCAAGCTATAGCATCCTTGTCAGCACCTTGGCACAAAACATGACTCGGGTGACTCACTTCGTCATTGAGCTTGGACCAAAATGCGCTGCTCACGTATCTGCTCGTCTTGCCCTTGTCGTGAAGCACAAGCCGGCCAAACGACCTGCTTATGCCTGTTTGCCTCTCTACAGGCTTCTTGGGTTCTGGGTCCGTCTCCATCCTGTTGGGCGTCACGGCCTCCTTGAATGCACTCATGACAGCAGCGCCGCTGGAAGTGCTACCGGCGCGTTCGGAGCTCAGGTCGTTACCAAAAGCCTCGGGCGAATTGCCTGTGCTCGAGTTCTGGCGACCGCTGTTGCTCCCTGTGCCGCTCTCGACCTCGATCTGGCCACTAAGCTCCTCAACGATTCCCTCCAACTTTCGCAGGCGCTTCATTAGCTCCACCTCGCGCTCGCTCGAATTCTTGGGCGGCGCATTCGGATCTTTCGGTCTGGGACGGCGAGGGGCGCGGCCGGGGGCCGGGTAGATGCACTGGATGACGGCGCGGCGGCAGTTGCTGCACGGCATTTGCTTGTCGCAGCGGACCTTTCGTCGGCGGCAGGTGACGCAGCTTCGGGGATTGAGGGCTGGCTGGCCGGAGGCCGTCATAGCCACGGGTTGATCAGGAGGTATAGAGGTCGCGCCATGTCGGCTGAGGGCAGGAAAGTCGTGAATGGTCGGAGAGTTTGGCGAATGGTGGGGGTTGGCATTCATGGCGTTGGCTGGCGTCGTGGGGTTCGACTGTTGACTTGTCGGCGAGAAGTTGTCCATGGCGTCTGTTTTGTCGGCCGTCCGTCGGATGTCTGGGGACGCAGACGTCGTAAGAGAGATTTGATCGTTCGCAGTGGCGGTTGTAGTCGGAGAAGAGACTGGAGGCTCACGAAGGTTTGATTTGGGGTTTGAGGGATAGGATTCGACAGAGTGCGATGGTGACACACACAGTTTGGCGACCAGAGCTGAGAAGGCTGACAAATGGCGGGGGATCGATCCTGCAACGCTGTTTTGCTCTTGGCTCCAGCTTTACCCACCCAGAGACAACAGCCGTGACACAAGGATCGAGCCTAGAGCATGTCAGAATCACAGCAGCCTATCTGAAAAGGCGGTAAGCTGTGAAATTGGTCGCTCGGTGTTTCGTCGATTGGCGTTGGAAGCTGTCGTTCGGTGACTCTTGCAGGATTGTTGGGATTAGTGGGTTAGGCTTGACAAGACAGGCGACTGAGAGGCGCAGCAGCACCCGCAACAGCAGCAGCCAGCTAAGGTAAGGTAAGGGTAAAGGGAGGTGGGGGTTGGAAGATGGACGGGAGCCAACGTTGGAGCGCACGAATGCCAGTCAACCTCAGTGCGCGGGAATAGAATGAAGTGGGAGGGAAAAAAGCATGGGAGCATGGGAATAGCAGGGGGGGAGGACCGATCGAGGTCGGAGCTTAGACCGGCAAGCCAGTGGGTGGGGCGGGGCGCCTGCATCGAC